GGTGGGGGCGGAGCGGGGTAGGGCAGGTCAAGTTGGAGTTGGTTGGATTGCAACCAGCGCCAGAACTGCTTGCTGCTGCACCTGATGACTCATGCCACCAATGCCTTGTCGGCTTTCAGACAGGCAGCCACCAGCAGGTAATAATTGTCTAAATTTTAGAAGGTCCCGGCAGGCCATATAAAATGGCCTGACAGGCCAGATGTGGCCCACAGGCTTTATTTTTCCGGCCCTTGCTCTATGGTATGAACCACCCTACAGTTTCCTGTTAGTTAACAGACATATTTTGTATTAGATAGAAATAACATGTTCACATTTGCCTAGAATGTGGCACACAACAAATTTTCTTTTTTCAATACAGTGCTTTGGCGAAGAATAGATCACAGACTAGCATCTTTATGGGGCAAATGTCATAGTAAGTTGATTGCTAAGGTCCAACTACCTTGATAATGTTCCTTCAAACATCATTAGAGAGCCTTGTGAAGATTACAGTTTGTACAGTAGCATGTTTTATGTATTAAACAAAGGAAGAAAAAATGTAAATATCAGTTTGAATCCATGTCTTATTTTTAAAGTAATTTTTAAGTTGGTAGCTAAGTAAACATCTGTCTTGAGAGTCTGGCAGATTGGTGCTTTTCCAGTTCCAAACAGAGTACAGTATTGCAAAGCACTAGAGTAATTAAAGAATGATGGGATTTGCATTATTGTTCCATAAAATCACCATTGCCTAGCAGATGGTGAAGACAAACGTATTGCTCCAGAGACATATGGAAGCCTGTCTGCTCCATAAAAACCCTGGTAAATATTAACCCCCAAATTACTCATCATTGCTGAAATAAAATGCTGTGGTAATCTTAAAAAGGGCCATAATTGGGTGATGTAACCACTCAAACTTCTGAAAATAAAAATGGACGGAAAATCTTCAGTAGTTAGTTTTTAATTAGAAGTTTCATGTAATCTTATTATTCATGCCAGTCTAAAATAATCTTCTTGGTTTTATTGCTTCAGTACAAGATTAGGTTGTCAGCATCATTTATATTCTTATTTTATAATAACTAGTCTAACAGGCCATCTTACTGACACACAAATAGCCCCAACTATACCTGACACTGAAAGAAACATATTAAGAAACATGTTCCAGAATTTCAGTCTGAATCAATGGTAGCTCTTATGAGGGAAAATATCTTGTTCTGCTCTATTGGTTTTGCTCTCCAGAAGATATCCTGATCTCCCTCCAGTGTCAAGTGAGCAGAATTAAATTTCTACTCAAATTGCTGACATGATACTGAATCATGGAGGTCACGTAATATTACAAAATTAAATCTAACATAGTAAATCAGAAATGTGACACACACAAGTACTTGTTAAACTAGACTACCAACTTGTTGATATTTTAACTTCAATAATGATCAGATTTGGGTTCATAGTTTGAAATTATAACGTTCTTTTACTATGTCAGTAATATCACCATGCTGCAATCTTTACTTAAACAGGAAAGAGCTGGAATAATTGATCATGGTTTTTTGGGTTTGTGTTAGGGTTTTTTTGGTGACTTTAACTCCTGTTATTCTTTGTTCATTTATATCCTGACCATATGCTGCAGTTCATAATCCTATAGTTAAGTAGATGATGGAGCATTTTAGCTCTATTTTAAGACTCCAACATTTCCCCCATCAAATGATAGTTTAAATTGAAAGAGTGATTAATTATTTGGTGTATGTGATGTCTGGTACCTGTCTTGGTATGGCCAAACTTTTAGCACCATGCATCTTGGGTTTACTATTGATTTCAGAAACAGGTCATTGGTTTTGTCCAAACTGACCACTTTACACATATTTGAAATGACTTTTGGCACCTCTGATTGAGATCAGCCCCAGATCCTGGTGGCCCCAATCCCATTCACCATATACTTAGCCCCACAGAGACCTGGAGAATGTTGTGTGTTGGGAGACCATATGGACATGTGGTACTGTGGAATCCTCACTTAGAGCTTAGTTCAATTTTACCGTTGAACACTGTCCTTTAAAAAGGGTACTAGGTGTCCTGCTTTGTCAATGGGAAGGGAAGTTAGGGTATGCTTGGGAGTGGAACCTTGCAGCGGCTTGTCTTGTCCCCTGTGGGCATTCCCCTAATGGAATTGTCTGGAGCGTGGCTGTTCAACTTCTAAGTGGCTAGAGACCTCCACACACACTCATGCTCAGCTCCTGAGCTGTGGACTCCTCTACTGCACTGAACTGCATGAGTTGGGGGGGCAGGGTCCCAGGCTACAGGTGCACCAGGGGCTAGGGGTAGCAATTGCAAGCAGGAGGAGGGAGGGGGAACCTGTAGGTCCTGGCCACTGTTGCAGCTGGAGTGATGGGGGTGGAGCTGAGTGGGAGCCTGGGACTGCAAAATAACCTTTAGCAGGCCACATGTGGACACAGGGCTGCCAGTTGCCCCAAGGTGCTTTTCCTGAAAGTTTTTCCATGAAGAGTACAGTAAGTCTCAACAACTTAGCAATGTGGAAATCTTTTTTTTCTGTCCCTAGAGCCTGCTTTGTTTGTTTTGTAAGCTAAATTAAAGGAGTGACTTCTTTCCATTTTTTTAAATTGATGGCATAAATGTGTTATTTTTGAGAAATGTATTGGAAATAAATAAATTTGAAATATTTATGAAAGATGCTGATAGAAATACATAATCATACTGCTTCATTCCCAAAATACTGTAAATATCAAATGGTGGGGAGAGAGGTCCATGTATACAAAGGTATGAAAACACTACTGTGTTTTAACAATACGTGAGACTCTGAAAAAGTAATCTCTATGTTCTGAAAATAATGTTTTTTTTCTTACTTTGAACTGACCAAGCACCACTTAAGATGGAGCCAAAATTCAAGCAGCCTTCACTAAATCTCTCTTTTGGCACCAATAGGTTATATGCATCTAAGTGAAGCATAGTGTTGTGCCTTATTTACCTGACTACAACTTACCTCACTTGAACATCCCAATATTTGATCACACCCACAGACTTAGATTTCAACATGCAGGATTTAATATTGGGCAGCGCAAAATTGATCCCAGTACCTCACAAGATCAGACCCTTTGATTGCAGCTGGCAGCCAATTTTCGAAGTGTCATTTAAACCCAGCATTCATGTGTCTCTGCGTACAAATCTTGGATAGCAAATAATGATTAAAGTCATTACATAAGAGAACAAAAGCCAGCATCCTGAGAAGTCATGCTTATGGGTAATATCAGAGCTATATAAGTACGTAGTAGTGGCCAACTATTGATCCTTTTGGATTATGGTGTATATGTGACGGGTCACCAGGACTGTCAACATGTCTGCCTAGGCAGGAGTGTGGAGGCTGCCCAGCCCTTCCTTCCCCACTTTAGACTGTTGATGAGACAATATCCAAAGGCCAGACTGAGTCTGGACAATCAGTGCCCCAGTGGCTGTAATTATGTGTGTGTCTAGGAATTGAATCCGGGTCTCCTAGCTGGCAGACAACGATTCTATCTCCCATGTGGCAAACAAAGCTTTCATTAGTGTGTTACATAAGTATGAAACTATTGCTAACATCTGATAAACGAGAGTGTGGGGGGCATATTTTTGATGTTTTGCACCTTGGTGTTTCAAAGTTGGCATCTGAGAAGTTAAACTGCTGCTTAGTGTTCCAGGGGATTCTTTAAAAAAAACTTTCAATGTGTGAAAAGTAATGCACTCATAGGTAGCCACAGTGTGCCTGAGACTGAGCACCCTTTTCAAGCATTATAGTATTCTTATGTGCAGATAAAAACACAAACAGTCCTTGCAGTACTTATATAGGTTTCCCTTGCTTTATGCGGGTTCTGTATGTGTGAATTCTCTCTTATGTAATCACGCTTTTTATACCAAAAATTCATTATATGCAAGGTAAATTCACTCTTATGTGATTGGTGTGGTAGAAGCCTGCAATCAGCTGCTTTGTGCAGTGCATTGTGGGAATGATGCCCACAAAAATATAGGCTCCTGTGTGGATCTGTGCTCCTCACTTGTTGTCTGCGACACGTGTTTTTGTAGTTGTCCCATTATGATGATGCCCTGTGCTTGTGTGTACAGTCTGCTGTTGGTGAATACCAAAATTGTCTTCTAAAAGTGGTAGAAATGGGTCTGGGGGTCAGTACAGTTGAAGTCTTGGAAGGTATCCCTATTTGTTACATTGTAAAGTGGGGTCCCTTGATGCAAATTTGAGTTATGCGCCATTTTCCAGGAACTCACATACAGCATAAAGTGAGGGAAACCTGTAGACAGTATTTGGTATATCAGAGCTTTGTGTAACACTGCTGCGCACCACAACCCATAGGTCTTGGATATGGTATTTTCCACACTGGTAGATGGTGCCAGAGTCAGGCTTGGGTATGTGGATGCTGCAGGTATCCTAACTAACGTTCAGGTGCTCGGGGACCTGTGGATGAGCAATATGAAAATATAGTCAGCTATTTGGGGCAGGAGCTGTAGTTGTCACTGTGGCGTGATTCAGCCCAGGGCTCATGCTCCCCCAAGCACATACAGACGTTCAGCTGCTTCCATAGCTGCAGCTGACTCGCTCCAGCCCGCGCCGCGCAGCGAGAAAGCCCCCTCCCGCCGTGAGAAGAGGGGAAGGAGGGCTCCTCCGTCACAGGCCGTCCAGGGGTGAAGGACTACGCGTGCCCCCCAGTCCCAGCCCACTCCGCTCAGTAGCGAGAGAAGAGCGCTTCACGCTTCCGGGAAACGAGTGCCTGTTCCGTGGGAACTCGGTCCCGCTGCGAGCAGGTCCCGAAGTTGCGAGCGCCGCGGAGCGCCTTCCGGCTCGGACTCCCCGGGGCGCGCGGAGAAGGCACCTAGTGGGCTCCTCCGCCCCGCCGCGGCCACAGCAGACTCCGGGAAGCTGCCAGGACTTCACCGCGGAAACTTCATTTCCCGACAGGCAGTGCGCGCGTCCGGCGCGGGATGATGAGTTCAGGGGCGCGGTCTGCGGCCATTGGGCGCGTCGTCGTTGTGGGCGGGGCGAAGCGGTGACGCCAGCTCCCCCTACCCCCTCCCCGTCGGTGCCCGGCGAGGCGGAGGCGGAGGCCGAGGAAGATGGCGAAGACTTACGATTACCTCTTCAAGCTGCTGCTGATCGGGGACTCGGGCGTGGGCAAGACCTGCCTGCTCTTCCTCTTCAGCGAGGACGCCTTCAACACCACCTTCATCTCCACAATCGGTGAGCGCCGCGGGAGGCGGGGCTGGGGCCGAGGCCCCGTCGCTGCGCGGGAG